CCTGAGAGCCCTCGTTCCCTCCCCTGCCTGCCCGGGATGCCCGAGTGGACGTTCCCAACGGCCCAGCAATCGCTGCTGAGGCTGAGAACCAGTGACAGGAAGCTCAGCCCAAGGGGGTGTCGGGGGGCAGCTACAGGAGGGAGAGGTGTCCTGTCTGTGACACCCGACACGTACCCACCCACCGCCCCAACCAGCCTGCGCCCAGCTATGCAGAAGCCCCTACCATGGGCTCCCCTCACCCACCTAGCCCAGCCCCGGGTGCATCCTGTCCACACAGCCTCGCCGCTTGTGACTCTGGGCCATGACAGGAGGCCATGTTCTCCTTCAGGCTGGTGGTGCTCGGTGCTTTCCCCCATTTTCCTGCAGTGACCGGAGGGGATGTACCCCAAACTACCCAGAAATTGCCCCCTGTGCTTGAGAACCAGAGGCAGGAAGTCCGGTCCAAGGGGGGGTCTGCTCAGACTGGGCCATGACCCCAGGTGTCACCACCGCGGACTCGCCCCGCGCTGCCCGGCCCACGCGCTCCTACCTGGACCCGCAGCCGCCCGCTGGACCTGGACTCGGGCTCCTTCATGGCCTCGTGCTGCACGCGGCACAGGTACTCCACCCCGGCGTCCTCGGGCCCCGCGGGGGGGAGGCGCAGCTCGGACTCCACGCTGTAGGACTTCCCGTCCGGCGCGGGGCTGGGGGCGGGGGTGTGCATCCTGTGGGGGTCTGAGCTCTCCAGGGGCCTGGGCGCCTTCTCTCCCGCTCCCTTTCGCAGCCACGTCACCACCAGCTGCCCGGGGTAAAACCCTAAGATCAAGCACGCAGGGTCCATGGATGCCCAGAGACCAGGGCCTGCAGGTGGGAGACTTCACCCAGGTCCAGAGGGTGTGGATGCCAGGCTGCAACAGTTGGGAGCAGCATGTCAGTAAGCAGACCTTGTTCCCAGACAGCAGACACATGCACAGGACTGATCCCCAGCATCCCAGAGAAATCCCTTGGGCCAGAGGAGGCAAGGAATCTCACTTGACCTATGAGCAGGGGCAGGGCCCAAAGAGAGGGGCAAAGACCAGGGTCACAGATAGAGACCAGGGGGCCAAGGAACCCATAGCAGAAGAGAGAGCAGCCCATAGCCCAGGAGAAGTGTGTGACAACAGGAAGGAGTATCATCTGTACAGCACGGCCATGGTTTAAAGGGATGTTTGGAGGGATGTATGTAATTAGCCTGTAAGGCAATGGCCATGGACCCCTGTGCTCAAGAGAGCAAGGTCAGGCTTGGGAAGCCCTGGGGCGGCCTCCCTTTGTCTAGGAGCTGAAGACACCACCGTGCAGTGGGCGAGGGAAGGGGGGGCTGCCCAAAGGCAGACGGATGAGGGCTGAAGGCGCTCCAGGGCATTACAGCCTCCCTGGGAGCAGACCCCTTTACATCAGCTCACGGGGAAGGCCAGCAGCTCCAATTCCATTGGACGACTGGACCCACGTGTCCCGGGTGGTAAGTCACTGGCTCGTTACACAGATTCACAGAAGTTTGGGGCTGGAAGGGACCTGGTGAGATCATCGGGTCCAGAGCCCCTGCTCTGGGCAGGAAAGA